GAACTCCTGGGCTCAAGTGATCCTCCTGCCTCAGCCTCCCAAGTAGCTGGGACCATAGGTGTGCACCACCTCACCCTGCTCACTTTTTAATATTTTGTAAGGATGGGATCTTGCTATGTTGCCCAGGTTGGCCTCAAACTCCTGGGCTCAAGCAATCCTCCTACCTCAGCCTCCCAAAGTGCTGAGATTACAAGCATGAGCCACTGTGCTTGACTGCTTCTGGTGCCTGACAATGACAATCTTTGGTGATTTGCTGACAGTCTGTGGCGTTCCTTGGCTTGTGGAAGCATCACTGCCACCTCTGCCTCCCTCATTACATGGTGTTCTTCCCATGTGAGCGTCTGCGTCCAAATTTCCCTTTTTCGTAAGGACACCAGTCATGTTGGACTATGGGTCCACCCTAGTCCAGTATGACCTCATCTTAACTTAAATAATTACATCTGCCATGATCCAGTATCCAAATAAGGACATGTTCCGAGGGGCTGAGGGTTAGGACTTCAATGTAGGAATGGAGGCTGTGGGGAGGACAAAATTACATCCTTAACACCAAGGAATGTTAAGGGTGGCAGCCGCCACCGGGAGCTAGGAGAGAGGCGTGGAAGGGAGTCTCCCCCAGAGCCTCCAAAAGGAGCCAACCCTGCCGATGCTTTAATTTCAGACTTCTGGCCTCCAGTACTGTGAGACAGTCCATTTCTGTGGTTTGAAGTCACTTGGTTTGTGGTAATGAGTTACAGCACCCTAACAAACTAACAAGCCAGCCCAGTGCAGGGCACATGTGGAGCGTATGATGAACAAGCTCCCACTCTGTGCCCTGGGGAGGCTCATGCATGCTCTTCTAAGGTACATACGATCGAGCGGATCACTAGGGGAGCATTTCCTCTCCCCTAACCCCAGGTGCAGGGACTTCAGAGTAATGCCTACTAAATGACCCCCTACCTCTGTTGCTTGACAACGGGAGGTGCAAGGGGGAAAAAAGACTGTGAGGATGGGAGAGGGTGGGTCACACAGGAAGTGTCACGTCACTGTGGTTGCAGAGGACAGAGGAAACAACCCTGTCTCCAGCAGGTGGAAATGGTCATAATGTTAATGGTGGCCCTGATGTATATGTTTTTATTTTATTTTACTTTGAGACAGGGTCTTGCTCTTACTGCCCAGGCTAGAGTTCATTGGCATGATCATGACTCACTGCAGCCTCGACCTCCCAGGCCCAGCCTCGATCCTCCTGCCTCAGCCTCCTGAGTCGCTGGGACTACAAGTGTGCGCCACCAATCCTGACTGCTTTTTGTGTTTTTTATTTTTTTATTTCTGTAGAGACACGGCTTCACCATGTTGCCCAGGCTGGTCTGGAACTCCTGGGCTCAAGTGATCCGCCTGCTTTGGCCTGAAGTGTTGGGGTTACAGGCATGAGCCACTGTGCCTGGCCAGCCGTGATACAGATGCTCAGCTCTGTGCTTCCTGTCTCATCTTCATGAGCTCCAGCCAAAAGATTCCCTCAGGTAGCTATTACTGCTCCCATGTTAAAAAAGAGAAAATTGACATTCAAAGAGGGAAATGACTTGTCTGAGATCACACAAGTAGTGACAGCTGGGATCTGAACACGACTACATTGTGATGTGCCGATAAATGTTTAACAACTGGCTCTCCAAAGGGAAAAATGTATGTCTGTGTATAAACACATATGTTTACAATAAATTTTGTAATTGTACTGATTATAAAGGATATGTACCACACACTTTACAAAGAATAATAATATAATCGAAAATTCTCTTTTTTGTAAATACCACACAATTATAACTTCAGGGTGACTTGCTATTTCCTGCAAAATCCAGTACCAGTTTTTATTTTTTGGGGGCTGGAGTCTCGCTCTGTTGCCCAGGCAACTTGTTAGGATGGTCTCTATTCTTAATGTCTAAATTCTACAAGAGGGATATTTTTCCCCCATAGAGGCACCATTCAGGGTGAGCTGGATATTGTTAGGATTTGGGAGCCAACAGGGGCTATCATTTATTCTTGTTCTTTGACCCCATCATAGGCCATTGCCTCTTCTCTGTTTGCTGGTTCATGCAAGACCAGGAGCTCCCCCAGTAAATGATCTGAAGGGTAATACCCATCCCCCGCAAGTCATGTCTCTCCCCATCCTCTTGCTCAGCCTCAGTCACAGGAACCACCCTGTGGTTGATTCATCCTGACGATTATTTGAGGTAGCTTAGGAATGGATGGTTGAGTTGTGAGTTGTCGAAACTCAGTCAAACTGGCTCAAGTTAAACCTGCTTGCTGGAAGAACACAAGGGAATTTAAAGGAAGCCAACTGCAGACAGTGTGTCTAGACCTTAGAGGAACCAGAACATTATCTGGTAGCTTCTCTCCCCGCCACCCTTGCAATCTGGGGCTGCATCATCTCTCACTTCCTCTCTGTTCAAATCCTCTGCTCCGTTCTCTCTCTGTGACTCTTTCTAGCAAATGATCCAGCTGGAGGGTGTTCTGGAGATTCTGCAAATTTGCAGTTGGTGTCAGAAGCGAGGGTGGTCTCGGACGGAGGCGGTGCCCCTAACTTTGTAGCAGGGCCCTATTTTACTGCACTCTCCTTCTGGGCCTCAGTTTCTCCATGTGTCAACATAGGAAGAACTCGCTGACTTCCTGGAGTTGGTGACCTAAGGGGTTCCTGGATTTGCAAGTATCCTGGTTAATTATAAAAGAGGTACAGAAGCAAAAAGTTTAGTTAAACCATCCTTTATTGAACCCTTTTGTATGCAGGGGGAAGGCAAGGATAACACAATGCCCTCCAGAAGCTCTGGGGTCAGTGGTATAGGTTAAATAAATGCATTGGATGCTGATGAGTAAAGCTTGCAGAGCTTCATGGGGGGTGTGCAGAAAAAACCATCATGGGAGTCCAGAGATGAGCTAGATTCCCAAGGACCACATCATGTCATCAAAACTCAGGAATCTCCCCTTGCACTGGAATGAAATCAGCCCTCATCACCCAGCTCCTCACCCAAAGACAGGTTCTGCTGTAGGTTAACTTTGGATGCTCCAGGCCACTCTTTCATCTCTCTTCTTTCCATTCATTCTCCTTTTCTCTTCTGTTTCTTGTTTATAATAAAATGATGGCTGGGCGCGGTGGCTCATGCCTGTAATCCCAACACTCTGGGAGGCTGAGGTGGGCAGGTCATCTGAGGTAGGGAGTTTGAGACCAGCCTGACCAACATGGAGAAACTCTGTCTCTACTAAAAATACAAAATGAGTCGGGTGTGATGCATGCCTGTAATCCCAGCTACTCTGGAGGCTGAGGCAGGCGAATCGCTTTAACCTTGTAGGTGGAGGTTGCAGGGAGCCGAGATCACGCCATTGCACTCTAACTTGGGCAACAAGAGTGAAACTCTGTCTTAAAATAAAATAAAATAAAATAAAATAAAAAAGATGTCTGTAATGGTAATTAAATGATTGCTTCAAGAGCTGGCAACAGAAATCTTCTTGATGGGGTGCTGTGGCTCACACCTGTAGTCCCAGCAGTTTGGGAGGCCGAGGCAGGCGGATCACAAGGTCAGGAATTCAAAACCAGCCTGGCCAATATGGCAAAACCCTGTCTCTACTAAAAATACAAAAAATTTAGCTGGGCATGGTGGCGTGTGCCTGTAGTCCCAGCTACCCTGGAGGCTGAGGCAGGAGAATCACTTGAACCCAGGAGGCAGAGGTTGCAGTGAGCTGAGATCGTGCCACTGCACTCCAGCCTGGGTGACAGAGTGATACTCTGCCTCAAAAAAAAAAAAAGAGCTGGCACCAGAAATCTTCTTAAGGAGGATGCTATTATTGATAAATGACTTGAGTTGGGAAAGGAGACCTGAGGGATAGAGTCAGAGTCAAGAGTAGGATGGCTAAATTTCTCCGCGTTTAAAAAAAAAAAAAAAAGCAGAAATCTGAAGGTGAGGAGATAGGAGGGAGGGTGGACTTTTAAAAGGATGTCTTAAGTTCAACGGAAAGCTTTCATGTTTGTCTGTTGCTGGCCAGTTGCCTATTCTCACATTGCCAAGCTTCTTTCTGTAAAGCGTGTTTCATATTTAAATACCTTGTGCAGGTAGCTTTTCAGGAAATTGAGGGAAATGTCTTGAGTTCCTCTCTGGGTTAATTTCATTCAGGGCAGCAACCACCAGACATTGTATGAATTGGACTAACTCAGTTGAAGCAAGACTTAGAGCCACAGGTAAAAACATAGGCTCTGGGGGCCCTCCCTTGTGGGGAGGACAATCTGTTTCCCAAAATTTATGATGTAAAAGATTAGGCAATCAGGTAGACCTCAAGGGGATGAGGGGTCTCCAACTGACATCTCCATAACTTTATATTTTTACTGAGTTGTTGATCAATAAAGGCTGAGGACTTTATATAAAGTATCTTCTTTTTTTTTTTTTGAGCCGGAGTCTCACTCTGTCACCCAGGCTGGAGTGCAGTGGCGTTTTCTTGGCTCACTACAGCCTCTGCCTTCCGGGTTCAAGTGATTTTCCTGCCTCAGTCTCCTGAATAGCTGGGATTACAGGAGCCTGCCACTACGCCCAGCTAATTTTTGTATTTTTAGTAGAGACAGGGTTTCACCATGTTGGCCAGGCTGTTCTTGAACTCCTGACCTCTGGTGATCTGCCTGCCTCGGCCTCCCAAAGTGCTGGGATTACAGGTGTGAGCCACAGGACTTGGCATATATGAAGTATTTTCTTGTATATCTTGCCTGATTTTAGCCATACTCTTTCACACTTCTCCCTCCTCCTTCATTTACCTAGGATGACTACATAATTTATTTTTCATAGCAGGGCACTTTTCAGAATGGAAGTGGACACTACTCAGCATTATGCCAGAATGAGGGTATCGTTCACTACTCATAATTCAGGACTAATCATAATGGGTATATTCGGGTTCATTTCAGGCAAACTAGGATGCAGATGACAGCTTCTTCCTATCATTTCCCATCCTGACCACCCAAAGCTGAGGTCCAAAATCAAAAAAGAAGTCAATAATAAACTCATATCTGTTTATTCTCCCGAAATCAGGGGACATAAAGGCTTTTTTTTCTGATGAGTGGGTAACCCTAAAATAAGCAGGAAATGCCTGTGGCTCAGCCTAACCCAAGGTGAGACAAAGCTGGAGCTGGGAGCTCGAAAGTGTCCCCAGCTCCCTCCTCACTTCGCCTGTAACTGCACCTCTGCAGAAGGTAAAGTAGAATTGGTAGCTGTGTCACTGGTTTGGGCTGAGTCCTCGGTTAGGGCCCTCTCCAGACTGGTGGGCAGAGAGTGGATCAGCCTCTCCCGGAAGTCCTGGCCCATGAAGACATAGAGCATCGGGTTGAGGCAGCTGTTGAAGAAGGCCAGGGCACTTGTCACATCCACTGCAATTCTAAGTTCTTTGGACAGGCCTTGTAATATGTTATGGAGTCTGACTGTGGCTATGAAGGCCACCACCTGATATGGGAACCAGCAGAGAAAAAAGGCAGCTACGACAAAGGAGAGGACCCGCAAGGGACGACTGGACTTAATTAAGCCTTGCTTGTGGATCTTGGTGGCAATAAGCCCATAACTGACAACGACGATGGACATGGGCACGCTGAAGCCAATGATGAACCGGATGATGCCTCTCACCGTCAACATGGCAATGGTCACCTTCAGCTTCTCCACAGGGTCATTGGTCCAGGGTGAAAAGTCAAAAGTGCAGGCTACTGTCCCTGGCCCGAGTTTACCAGGTACTGTAGTCACACGAATGATAACTGGCAATGTGAGGAGCAGAGCCATCACCCAGGGCCCGATGATCACCTTCTTGGCCAGGCTCACGGTGCGGTGGTTCTGGGTCCAGACTGGATGCAGGACACAAATACAGCGGTCCAGAGCAATGAGGGCGATCAGGAAGACACTTCCAAACAAATTGATATCCACTATGCTAAAGATGAATTTGCACAGGAACCAACCGAAAGGCCAATGTCCTCTCATGACCTTCACGACCACTAAGAACGGCAAAGTGGAGGTGAAACAGAAGTCAGCCACAGCCAGGTTCAGGTAACTGATGGTGGTGACTGTGTGTCTCATCCGGAATCCAGCCACCCAGATCACAAGCCCGTTGCCCAGGACCCCGAGGACAAAGGTGACTGCAAATACCAGATAAGTGAAGATATCCAGGAAGAGATAGCCAGCAGCTATAGCAGGTGGCCCTCCAGAGATGTTCGTGGGGAGAGAGGAATTTGTCTCCATTTTGTCCACTCCTGAAATAGTGCAGTCATGGTCATTCCTCAGTTATGATCCTCCGCACCATTTCCCCATCCCCTCATTTCTGCCCCTGCCAGTTTTCCCACTGATAGCTTTCTCACCTTCCCCTAGAGCTCCCACAACAGCTGGAACATCTTCACCACTGTCCCTTACACATGTCCACATGTATACATTGGCAATCTTTTATTGTACCTGTTAGGCAAGATTACATCTTTTCTTTCTTTCTTTCTTTCTTTCTTTCTCTTTCCTTTCTTTCTTTCTTTCTCTTTCTTTCTTTCTTTCTTTCTTTCTTTCTTTCTTTCTTTCTTTCTTTCTTTCTTTCTTTCTTCTTTTTTTCTTTCTTTCCTTCTTTCTTTTTCTTTTTTTTTTTTTGTGATGGAATATTGCTCTGTCATCCAGGCTGGAGTGCAGTGGCATGATCTCTCACTGCAACCTCTGCCTCCTGGGTTCAAGCGATTCTCCTGCCTCAGTGTCCCGAGTAGCTGGGACTACAGGTGTGCACCACCCCACACCCGGCTAATTTTTGTATATTTAGTAGGAGTGGGGTTTTGCCATGTTGGCCAGGCTGGTCTTGAACTGCCGACCTCAGGTGATCCACCTGCCGCAGCCTCCCAAAGTGCCGGGATTATAGACCTGAGCCACCGTGCGTGGCCAAGATTGCATCTTATGACACATCCTCATAATTGCTAACCTGCGAGCCCCTACCAGGGAGATTAAATGGCTAAGGAAATAGGGTCCTTGACCTCCAAGAGGAGAATATGGGGCCAAAGATGTACAGAGAAAACATGTATTCAAACAAAAATGTTCATAGAGACACTCCTCACTATAGCCAAAAGGTAGAAACAACCCAGATGTCCATCAACAGATGAATAGATAAACAAAATGTGGTTTATCCATCCAATGGAATATTATTCAGCCATAAGAAAGAATGAAGCACTGATATACGCTACAATGTGGATGAACCTTGAAAACATGACGCTAAACAAAAGAGGGCTGGGTGTGGTGGCTCACGCCTGTCATCCCAGAGCTTTGGGAAGCTGAGGTAGGAGGATTGCTTGAGCTCAGGAGTTCATGATCAGCCTGAGTCACATAGCAAGATCCTCATCTCTACAAAACAAAAAAATTAAATCAAATTAAATTAGCTGGATGTGGTGGCACACACCTGTAGTCCTAGCTACTCAGGAGGGTGAGATGGGAGGCTCATTTGAGCCCAGGAATTCAAGGTTAACAGTGTGCTATGATTGAGCCACTGCACTCCAGCCTGGGCAACAAAGCGAGACCCTGTCTCTAAAATGAAAGAAAAAAGAAAGGAAGGAAAGAAGGAGGAAAGGAAAGAAAGAAGGAAGGAAGGAGAGAAGGAAGGAAGACAACACCAGTCACATATTGTATGATTCCACTTGCATGAAATATCCAGAGTAGCCAAACTCACAGAGACGGAATGTGGATTAGTGATTGCCAGGGACTAGGGAAAGTAGGAGGTGGGGAATTATTGCTTAATGCTTATGCAGTTTTTGTTTGGTGTGATAAAAAAGTTCTGGAACTAGATAATGGTTATGGTTGCAGCACACTGTAAATGTACTTAATGCCATTGAATTGTACATTTAAATGATTAACTTTTTTGTTGTTGTTTGAGATGTGGTCTTGTTCTGTCGCCCAGGCTAGAGTGCAGTGGTGCAATCTTGGCTGACTGCAACCTCCACCTCCCATGTTTAAGTGATTCTCCTGCCTCAGGCTCCTGAGTAGCTGGAATTACAGGCACTTGCCACCATGCCTGGTTAATTTTTATATTTTTGTAGAGATGGGTTTTCACCATGTTGGTCAGCCTAGTCTCAAACTCCTTGACCTCAGGTGATCTGCCCACCTTGGCCTGCCAAAGTGCTGAGATTATAGGGGTGAGCCACTGTGCCCAGCCTAAAATGGTTAACTTTTCGTTATGTGTATTTTACCATCAATTTAATAAAGAAAAAATAACAATGTATGATATCAGAAAATCAGTGGGTGACAGCTACAGTGACCTAGTGTCACACAAACGTGGACTAAGACTTTCTCTCACCCATGACTCTGCATAAGAACTATAAGATATGCAACTTCTTGGCCGGGCCCAGTGGCTCACGCCTGTAATCTCAGTACTTTGGGAGGCTAAGGTGGGCGGATCACGAGGTCAGCAGTTCGAGACCAGCCTGGCCAACATGGTGAAGCCCCGTCTCTACTAAAAATACAAAAATTAGCCAGGCATGGCGGCGGGCACTTGTAGTCCCAGTTACTCCGGAGGCTGAGGCAGGAGAATCACTTGAACCTGGGAGGTGGAGATTGCAGTGAGCAGAGATTGCGCCATTGCACTCTAGCCTGGGTGACACAGCGAGACTCCGTTTCAAAAAAAAAAAAGATATGCAATTTCTCCACTCCAAATTCTGCTCCCTCTCTCTCTTTAAGGTCATGAAATCTCCCTTTCCTCTCTCATCGTGGGAGGCAAGGCATAGTATTTGGTTAGTTTTCCAAGATAGGCCAAATGGATCCGTGAATGATAATAAACGATGGATAATCAAGTATTATATCCAATGGATTCTGTGCTACAAGAAGTCAGAACAACAGACTCTGTTTCCACTCTTGTCTCTGCGGTTACCTTGGCCAGATGGATGGGAGGTGCTTCTCCATCCATTGGATGGGCTCAGCACTCTTGGGGATGCAGAAGACCGTGATAGAAATAATAGTCCAAATATGTATTGGGTATGACATTTCATTAGATCAGGTATGCAAAGTGCATGTCAGGTTCTTGCCAAGAGCTGGTCTTCCCTTTTTTTTTTTTTTTTTTTTTTTTTGAGATGGAGTCTCTCTCTATCACCCAGGCTGGAGTGCAGTGGCATGATCTCAACTCACTGCAACCTCCACCTCCCAGGTTCAAGCGATTCTCCTGTCTCAGCCTCTTGAGTAGCTGGGATTACAGGTGCATGCCACCATGCCTGGCTAATTTTTTTTAAATTGTATTTTAGTAGACATGTCATTTCATCATGCTGCCCAGGCTGGTCTCAAACTCCAGAGCTCAGGCAATCCACCTGCCTCAGCCTCCCAAAGTGCTAGGATTACAGGTGTGAGCCACTGTGCCCGGCCTGATCTTCTCTTCTAATGCTTGGAGGAGGCTTCCTCCAAAGTGTTACTATAAGGGTCACTTTCTTTATGGTACCCATTTTTCAGATGAGGAAAGTGAGACTTAGAGCATTTCAGTTAATTCCTTAAAGTCAACCGAAAACCCAGGCTGTCAAATTCCAGCAAAAGTCTCTTTCTGCCTCTGCCTTGCCACGCTACCGGCACAGAAGAGCTGTCTAATACACTAGTCACTCACCACATGTGGTTTTTAAGCACATGAAATGTGGTTAGTCCAATTGGAGATGGGCTGCAGGAATAAAATACCCATCAGATTTCAAAGACTTAGTATGAAAAAAATATTGTGACCATCTCATTAATAGTTTTTATATTGACTACATGTTAAAATGATAATAATTTGGCTATGTAAGTTTACCTCCGATATTTTATTAAAATTAAGGTCACTTGTTTCTCTCCATCTTTTTAAACTGCCTACTTGACACTTTGAAATTACATATTTGGCTCACATTTCTAATGAACTTTGATACTCTACAATCTCAGAAATAACTCAGACATGTCTCCCTCCCCTACCACCCATCTAACCACCAAAATACCCTGAGGACTGTTTGTCTTCAAGAATCTCTAAGGCAACCAGTTCAGAAGATTGTTGCAATGAATGAGGAAGATTCTGCAATAATGAGCCGGAACATACCAGAGAGGAAAACCTGTGCAATTTTGTCCAATTATGGTTCAAGGGAGAAATCCTGTGATTTGCAATGAACACAGACCATGGTGGCCGCCGTCGATGAAGCACTTTATACTTGTCAATCATTGTACCACATCCTCAACTTTCTTGCCTCTGATCTCAACAAGCACAGCATTGATTACACATCATCATCACTGTGTGACAGAAGAGGAAACTAGGAGCTTGGTGAGAAATGACCAGCCAATGTCTGCAAATTCATGAGAGGGCAGGGCTGTATTCTGCCGCTGGGTCCCACGCACCACGCAGAACCAGTGTCTTCATGTGGAGACTCATCACTGATCTGAAAGGTGACTGCTTCTGTATCACACTCATTCCCCATGGCCCATCATAATCATTAGGGCTCTTTTGCTTTCTCCTGAAAGCTTCAAACCAAACATCCTTTCCCACCCTGACTCATGCCCTTAAACTGATGCTCTTGCCTCCTCTTCCACCAGATTCTCCTCCTGCCGGCTCCTGCATCACTGTTCTCTGCCTTCACCTCAGTGACCAGAAAACAACTGTTCCCATCCAAGAACTACCCTCTACTGGTCCCGCAAAACTCATTCCCCCGTTTACTCAAGAACTTCCCTCCTTCGCTTATCCCCTCTCTCCCCTGCAGCATCATACTGTCTCTATATTCCATTATTCCCATCAGGACCCCAGTAAAGTCTAAAGCCTATTTGTTTATTTATTTATTTGAGATGGAGTCTCACTCTGTCACCCAGGCTGGAGTGCAGTGGGGCAATCTGAGCTCACTGCAACCTCCAGCTCCCATATTCAAGCAATTCTCCTGCCTCAGCCTCCCAAGTAGCTTGAATTACAGATGGCTACCACCACACTGTGCTAATTTTTGTATTTTTAATAGAGGTAAGGTTTCAACATGTTGGCCAGGCTGGTCTTGAACTCCTGACCTCAAGTTGTCCACCTGTCTTGGCCTCCCAAAGTGCTGGGATTACAGGCATGAGCCACCGTGCCCGGCCTGTCTAGAACCTCTTTAAAAAAATTTTTCTTCAGCTCCACATCCTTCTTCAACCAAAGAGTCTATTGTGTTCACCAGTGTATTAAGTGTGTCTATGCCAAGCAACCCAGTCCCCCAGAATTTGTTTCTTACCCGGACTGTCCACCAGCTGTGGTTTTGCTCTGGGTAGTTCTAGGTCTGGGTCTTCTGGGGAGAGTGACTCAGGCTCTAATGATCTCAGCAAAACATACCCCAAGGAACAGGAGGAGGAGGGGTAAAGGAACTGAAATCAGCTGGGTAAGAGGAAATAGGAAATCAGAACTTCTGATGACCCCAAGAGTACATCAATATACTGTCTGCTTTAATGGCATTAGGACAGTGGGCTGGGTCTGTTTAGAAACTCATGTACCTGACTGTATTTCTCAAACTCAGTCCCTGTGGGATGCAGAGGTTCAATGCTCTCAACATCAAGGGCCAAGAAATCCAGGTGTCCAGGCCCCTGCTCCCTCCAAGGGTCAAGGTAAAGAAAGGAGCAAGTACTGTGGTGAGAGGAATCAGAGGGAAGCAATGAAAGGCAGAGAAGGAGTCGTGAGGGATGGAGACCGGAAACACAGACAGAGGTAAGGGAGGCAGGGAAGTTGAGACAGTTGGCAGGACAGCGCGTCCACACCCATGCACACCATCAAGATTAACCCCATAATCCTCTGATCTTGTGGAGGCTCATTTGTAGTCTTCTATTGCAAAGAAATAACTGTTTTTCTGAAATATTAAGCATCATTCCAAGGGTATCAGAGTGATATGGAGAAATACGGTAAGGCAGTTACAGAACCAGAGATAACGACACTGATTCTAAAAGCATTATTACCAAGACCTTGTTTCATTAAGGCTGTTTTGTTTTGTTTTTTTCTTTTAGAGATGGTATCCTGCTATGTTGCCAAGGCATGTTTCAGACGCCTGGGTTTAGTGATCCTCCTGCCTCAGCCTCCCCAAATGCTGGGATTACAGGCTTGAGCCAGGCTGTTTTTAATACTAAGAAATTTACAATTTACAATTACACCTCACAATGGCTTAAACTGGGGGTGTCCAATCTTTTGCATTCCCTGACCCACACTGTCTCCCATCACTCCCAGATGGGACTATCTAGTTGCAGGAAAACAAGCTCAGGGCTCCCAGGGATTCTACACCATTGTGAGTTGTGTAATTATTCGTTGAATATTACAATGTAATAATAATAATAGAAATAAAGTCTACAATAAATGCAATGTGCTTTAATCATCCTGAAACCATCCACCCTGCCACCCCCCAGTCTGTGGAAAAATTGTTATGAGACTGGCCCCTGGTGCCAAAAAGGTTGGGGACTGCTGCACTCCAGCATCCCACATGAGGAGAATGGGGATAAGATGGAGAATCACTGAACATCTTTAATCAGAAGGGTGATATGTTCATTTGTACCCTATAAACATTTGTGTTTGTATTTTATAAACATTTTCTTGGGATCATAACAACAGATGCGTTTTAGAAGGTTCCCAAGGTATGAAGGGTAACACATGAAGACGTATCTAGGAGTCACATGGAAGCCAGCATTTTGTAAGGGGATTAAAATAAAGGGAATGGCAGAGGACATCTTTATGCACGGAGGAGAAGGGCCCAGATATCAAGAGAAAACAAGAGACAAGGAACTCCACAGAGAGTAATTGCCAGAAACATTTGTAGGTCTTTTGAAGTCTGACTGTTCTTCCTAAAACGGGGCTTCTGGGATACCCCTGCCTGTTTCCCATGAGCCCTCTTTTCTAAAACACAAGTAGATTTTTTTCCTTGCTACAGAATGGCCCATGATTAGCACACTAGGTTGGGCAAAAACAGAACCAAGTGTATGTTCAAAGGTGACTATGGTGAAGAAAAAAAGGAAAGTCAAAATGGACTTCCACTTCTGTGTTTGCGTAAGGCTAAAAGGGAAGATGCCTTAGGGTTGACCGGATGGGGATATTGCTGTCTGTGCTGCAAAAATCCCTGACCCTTCTGGTAACTGAAACATCGGAAATGGCCTCGACGAGCAGTACAACCTCCCCGTAAAGCACTGGACTGAGGTGGTGAAGCTAGATTGCCTGGACTAGAATCCCAGGAACACTGTTCACTAGCTCCAGACAAGCCAGCCAATCCGGGGGTCTGAAACATTTCCCCCAACTTTTTTTTTTTTTTGAGACAGAGTCTCACTGTATCGCCCAGGCTGGAGTACAGTGGTGTGATCTTGGCTCACTGCAGCTTTGCCTCTTAGGTTCAAGCGATTTCCCTGCCTCAGCCTCTCCAGTAGCTGGGATTACAGGTGCCTGCCGCCACTCCTGGCTAATTTTTGTAATTTTTAAGTAGAGATGCGGTTTTGCCATGTTGACCAGGCTGGTCCTGAACTCCTGACCTCAAACAATCGATCGCCTTGGCCTCCCAAAGTGCTGGGATTACAGGAGGAAACCACTGCAATGGGCCACAAACATTTCCTATAATGGGCCAGAGAGTCAACATATTTCGTTTGGCAGGCCATGGGGTCTCCATCACAACTCCTTGGCTCTGCTGTTGTAGCCTGAAAACAGCCACAAGCAAAGTTGTAAACGATGAGCATGACTATGTGTCGATAAAACTTTATTTAAAACACTACAATTGATTTCATATAAGTTTTACATGGCACAAAATACCCTTCATTTGATTTTCTTTAGCTGGTAAGAAACATTAAAGCCATTCTTGGCTCTCAGGCCATAAAAAAACAAGTGGTGGACTAGATTTGACCCCTGATTTAACTGCACTGAGTCCCAGTCACTTCACCTGTGAATTGAGAGCAATGATACTTACAGAGGTGTTTTCTGGAGCAGAACAAATAAGATCAGTGATACAAAGCACTTGGCATGAATTCCAGTGCAATAGATATTATTGATATCTTAGTAATTACATAAACCTCTCTTTCTGCTGTTTCACATTCTCTGTGGTGAACCCATCCATGCTTAAAACTTGAACCACACCTCAGCTAACATTCACCAGATCCCTGTCTCTAGCTCAGACCTACCCTTGATGTCCAGACACATCATTTTGTGTTCCTGTTTCCTTTCAAACTCATCTCCAGCCTTTGTTCTCCTCACCTTCTCCCACAACTCCAAGGACTAAATTGTGTCACACTCCCCTTCAAATTCTTAGGTTGAAGCCCTAACCCCATGATATGGTTTGGTTGTGTCCCCACCCAGATCTCATCTTGAATTGTAGCTCCCGTAATTCCACATGATGTGGGAGGAACTAGGTGGGAGATAATTGTTTCATGGGGGCAGTTTTCCCCCATAATGTTCTCATGGTAGTGAATATGGCTCACGAGATCTGACGATTTTATAAGGGGTTTCTCCTTTCACTCGGCTCTCATTCTCTTTTGCCTGCTGCCATGTAAGACGTCCCTTTGTTCTTCCTTTGCCTTCCGCCATGATTGTGAGGCCTCCCCAGCCATGTGGAACAGTGAGTCCATTAAACCTCTTCCCTTTATAAATTACCCAGTTTCAGGTATGCCATTATTAGCAGCATGAGAACTGACTAATACACCCCAGCACATCAGAATGTGACTGTATTTGGGGATACAACCTTTAAAGAGGTAGTTAGCTGAAACTGAGGTCATTAGGGTGTGCCCCAACTCAATATGACTGACATCCTTATGAAAAGAGGAGATCCAGACACAGACAGGCACAGAGGGAAAACTAGGTGAAAACATGAGGAGGAGGCGGTATCTACAAGCCAAGGAGAGAGGACTCAGGAGGAATCAACCCTGCTGACACCTTGATCTTATACTTCCAGCTGATAAAACTGTAAGAAAATATATTTCTATTGTTTTAGCCACCCAGTCAATGGTATTTTGTTATGGCAGCTCTAGCAAACTAAACATTCTGCTTCTTTTCATTGATTCTCATCTCAATGACAGCCCCCAAATCCACACAGTTACCTTGCTGCAACGGTTCTGAAGAAAATGGCCACAATATTCTTGGACACTCCCTCCACTGAGAGGAGGACAGGCATATTCTATCCCCTCTGCCCTGGAAATCGCTCCCTAAACTACCCCTCCTCTCTAGCACACTACTCCAGCACAGGCAACCATTCGACAAGTTCATCTTGATTTCTGGCAACTTCTTACCCTTTAGGATCTCTGCCTCCAACTGGGAACATTCTCAGAGCCATCCCTTTGCAGGAGGACTCTAGAACAATGTTTTTTGGAAGCATACATCTGACTAGTCACTCTCCTCTTTTCATAAGCTTTTCGTGTTCTTAAAGAGAAATTCCAAGTTCTTTTTGTAGCATTCAAGACCATCCAAGAAATTGCCTCTGTAACCCTCTACAAACTTAATGCTCATTGCTGTCTCTCTCATCATCTCTGCTCCAGTAACCAAAAGTAACCTGCTTCTTTGTGACCCCTTTCCTGGGTGTTTTTACTCCCTTCTGACTAGAATGCATTATTTTTTCTCCTTTATCTGAGTCTTTAACACTCAGCCTAGATGTTCCCTCCTCCGGATATTGACTCTAGATCAATTAGTTGTTCCTTTTTAGGGGATCCCACAAGGAGCCAGGCATCTGCCTATCACTACATACTCCCACCCTATTGTAACTAAGCACTGCATTCTCACCCCTCTATTCAGGTGGTCCGCAGAGCCCATGCCTGATTGATCTCTATGTCTCCAGCAGCCAGCAAGGAAGCACCTCTTTAGAGACCTGCACCTATACAATACCTACCACCTCCTATTTCTTGATATGTGAACTCCATTGAGAGCAAATGAGTAACTGTAGGTAATGCGCCTTCTTCTTTTCTTTTTTTTGGACGGAGTCTCGCTCTGTCGCCCAGGCTGGATTTCAGTGGCGCAATCTCGGCTCACTGTAACCTCTGCCTCCCGGGTTCAAGTGATTCTGCCGCCTCAGCCTCCCACGTAGTTGGGATTACCGGTGCCTACCACCATGCCCAGCTAACTTTTTTTTTGTATTTTTAGTAGAGGTGGGGTTTCACCATGTTGGCCAGGATGGTTTTGAACTCCTGACCTCAAGTGATCCACCCACCTCGGCCTCCCAAAGTGCTAGGATTACAGGTGACAGCCACAGCGCCCGGCCAGTAATGTGCCTTCTTTAGTTCTGTGAGCCATTCTAACAAATTATCAAAACAGAGGAAGGGGTTATAAACATCCCCCCACCCCCGATTTACAGCCAGTCAGTCAGAAGTACAGGTGGCCACCTGGGACT